GGGGAAGGGACAAGTCCCCCAGAGCACATGGGAAGTGGGGGGGTGCAGTGAATGGAGAGAGAAGTAGGAGAAAGAGAAGGGGAGAGAAAAGACATGCAACTAGGAAAATTGAGTCAGGATAGGAATAGAAGACAGAAAGAGTGAGGGAGAGAAAGAGAGAGAGAGAGAACATAAAATTGTTATATTTTAACTGTTTTCTTGGAAAAAAATCCCCTCTGTTTAATCTCTTCAACATGACTATTTCTGCCATTCAAGACATTCTGGGAACAATGGAAGATTTCTAGCCTGCCATACAAGCAGCCTGGAACTAGATTCTGTGGAAGTATAAACTTTATAAAAGGAATATTTTTTGTTACGTGTGTGTGTGTGTGTTTATGTGTGTTTAGGGGTGTGTAGGGGTGTATGTAGGCTTGTGTATAGGTGTATGTATAAGGGTATGTATGTGCAAATATAGGTGTGTGTGTGTGTGTGTGTGTGTGTGTGTGTGTGTGTAGATATGCATCCCATAGCATGCATGTGGAAATCAGAAAATAATTTCCATAATGGTATTGAACCAGGTCCTTAGGTTTGCTGGCAAGAGCTTTTATCCATTCTGTCATCATGCTAGCTCCCATAAAAGGATTATTATTTTTTTTTAATTTAAGCATGCAAGGAACCAAAGTAGGATTGTAAATTCAAAGCCAGCCCAGGGTACATAGAGAGCTCCTATCTTAAAATGAAAAAACAAAAAGAAAAAATTTATTTTTATTTATGCTTCTGGGGAATGTAAGTTATGGAACATTTTACCATTGACTGCCTTAACACTGTGGAAGTTGAAGTATTAGGTAGATAGTAGAATATAATCAACTTGAATTTAGGAGAGGTATCTAGGATGAGAAAAGTCACTGTGTAAAGGCCATCAAAGACACAGGGCCAGGACATTCATGTGCTTACATGTCCTCTGTGAAGGCTGAGGAGACTGAGGATGGCACAGCTAGAAACAAAGGGAAGTTAATGTCCTGGGAGCCAAGAGGTAAGTGTTTCTAGTTTTTCCTTTAGCTCTGTGGGTTCTCAGACTTTGAGTCAGTCTGCTGCTTTTGTGGGATTCCAAGAACTCTAATTTATAAAAATTCTTGTTTCATCCAAGAAAACTTTGAACTAGATTGAGACTCTCTTCCAAGTTCCATTGGCTCTGACATGGTCAGAAGAACTAGAGAGTCTTCAGGGTCATGGGTCCTCATTTCTCGGGGCAGCTTCCCTTGGTGCCTACAGTTACTGTGCAATTGTAACAGACCATGGCCTTATTATCTTCTGGCTAGCAAAGCCTCAGGGAAATCCACAGACTTCTATAGGGGGGTCTGTGGTTGTGGCTTCATAATAAAGCATCCATTCAGTACATGCAAGGTTTGACTCCTAGCACTACAAAACCACAAATGGAAGTGCCTTGCAGGTGGTTGGATCAACATAAAAAGAAGGTGATTTGGCCTGGCTACTGTTTTCTACTCTGAGAAACCAAGAAACCAAGCCTTAGGGGCACATGCCAAGGAATTGTGGGACACAGTTCTGGCTGATGAAGCTCTTCAAAAGCCATCTCTCATAGAATATATCACAATACCCCTTAGCATATTCTTTGAAAATGTGATAACACCTAGAGTTTCATAATTCTTATCACTCCTTTTATTTAAAAATGTCAATCTATTAGCCCCTAAAATGAAGTATATCTATGGGATCTTACACAGTTTAAGAGCAATGTGTCTTTCTGTTACCACATATTATAGCTGTGATGCTTCTTTCACACCCTCTAATGTACCAGGGCACAAACAGGGGAAAGGAAAAAGGAAGAGAGACTTCAGATTATTTGGTCATTCATACTTTTATTTTTCATAGTGATTGTTGCCAATTTCTAACAAAAATAAATAAAAACTGACAATAACTTATAAGTTACAGTCTCCTTCACTATCTTAAGGTACACAACTATCAAAGCTGATATTACCTGCAAACAAATTGATACAATTCAGTACCTTGATAACATTCATAGTCAAATAAGTTTTAAGGTGAACATAATGCAACTTTATGTTCCATTAGAATCTTTAGTAGAAACTTATACCAGAGTGCCTCTTCAAGCCTACAAAGTGCAATTACAGAGTGCAAATTGGCAGAAAGAAAAATACACTGTATTCATTCAATAGCATCAGGTTTGAATAGCAGAGAATATATATATATATATATATATATATATATATATATATATATATGTTAAAACGTTCAAATGTACCCCAGAAATGCTATTTATCTATTTATGCTCTCCTTCCCATAACATTAAAAAATTGGAAAATATTGGGCAACAAATAAAACTTCTTTTTAAAACATCCCACAAAAAATAAATTGAAGCAAAATTGACAAATTTAGTCTAATAAAAAGATTTGAAGGCAACTTTACTGAAGCAAAAAGGGGACACTTGTCTTGGTCACATCATATATTTGCTGGGTAAGTAATTGATATCTTTCAGCAGTTAAATTTATTTAGTTATCTTCTCAAGGACTTAAAAATAAAATATTTGGCCTTTCCCATGATTTGACTCTCAGCAGAGAGGAGAGGATGAAAATGTGTAAAGTTACAGTGTGGGATGAAGGCATTATATAGTAGAAAGCTAAAACTTTTAAGGCTGAAGTTCAGTGTTGAATAAGAGCAAAGTGCCTTTGTTTACTGAGTGCATTTACTGGGTTATTATTAGGTAGTCTTGGTGGGAGTCTATAAATTATGCAATTTTGCATCTGGAATTGCTTTGGTTATCAATAAAGGATATATATATATATATATATATATATATATATATATATCCTTGTTGATGTCCCTGTGTGTTTGTGTTTGTATGTGTGTGTACAATATGAGACATATGTATGCCACATGAATTGATTATAATCTTTTTATGCTTACTTAGCATAATCTTCACTAAAAAATTTAGTTTTTAAACCTTATGTTCACCCAAAACCTGTAATCTCATCATACTTTTTTATTATTAATATGCTTTTATGGGACCACAGGTGTAGCCCAAAGGTAGTGTTCGCCCAACATGTATAAGGCTCTGAGTTTTATTCCCAGCTTTGAGGTCGAAACAAAAAAACATATATAAATATAAAATGCTTTCCTGAAATCTTTTCAAAAACATTTAAAAATATGCAAAGCTACCCCAAACTTCTTGCATCAAGTTATGTGGTATGATTGGAAATGCTCACAAGTGGAACAATATATTCATATCTAAAAGCCATTTGACTTCTGTAAATTAACTGGCTGTATTATAGTTCAGTCTTTGATGAGCTTTATAATTTTATCTGGAGAAGCCAAGGTCACTTAAAATAGGCCAGTTTTCTCTCTATCCAGTTGGTCACAATGGGATTTAAAATGTCTTCTTACACAGTACCTTAGGCTTTAGCTGAATAAAATGACAAAGAAATACACTTTTAAATCTCACTGACTTTCATTTCCCTTTGTCTTTTTAAAAGTGAGTATTTTGGTTAATACAGAAACAAATAGCTGTAATTCTGCAAAGTATGGAGCTTGTATCCTAGAGCATGTATCCAGGAATGTACACGTGAATTGCTTATTTTATCTGCTCCTCTCATTCACAGTAAGGTCAGGACTTTTTATGCAAGCTGTGTGAACCTTCCAGGCTTTTCCATGAGTGACTCCTAGGGCAGCAATGGTATTTTCCCATTGCATTGTAGAGGTCGGAGGCAACTCATGATGGCTCTGTTGCCCTAGCACATGCCAGGAAATAGATAGAGGAAGGGATAGACCCTCCCTGACCTGGTATGTGTTCCAGACAGATTCCACCTAAGGTTGAGCATTGGGTTAGGCAGCCTCCCAGGAAAGGCAAAGGTGTGCCAACAGGGACTCTTGAGGCACCTTTAGAGGATAATTAGTGACTCACTAAGACCTATAGGCAGAGAATGGAGACCAGCCTCTCCCTTTCCATAGAGGCAAACAATGACAGGGAAAGGGTCAAGATTTCATCTTAGCTTCCATGGGAATGCATAGTTAAATCTATAATTTTAAAAGCTTTCAAATGTGTTTCTCCTCTAGAAAATTACATTGTGGTTTATTTTTCCCATATTTTCCTCACTTCCTGTATTTGGATATATATGTCTAAAATCAGACTTTAAATAAACCTGAAATAAGATATTGACTGAACTATCTGTTAGTAAAAATTCTTTTGAAACTAGGTATGGTAATGTGGGCCTATAATCCCAGCACTAGGGTGGCTAAGGCAGGATGGAGAATTACCATGACCTCGGAAGCAATCTGAACTAAAGAGTAAGATTCTGGGTTAAAAAGAAAAATAACAACAATAACAAAACAAAAAGCAAAAGCAAAGGAACAAAACCTCTTGAATATAAAATTTAAAAATACATTTGCATATTAGACAAGATCTGCTTAACAACCTTTTGTATTTTAAAATTATGATTAATTTGATTTGGGGTTCTGATTTAATCCTTTAATTTTTCAGCTAAGTCCCTATAAAAATAAATAATCTAAACTGGAGTTTTGATTTTCCTCAAATGTAGATTTTCTAATTGATATTCAACAATGACTTCACATGAATGATTTACTCTACATAATATGGAATGCCCATTTTTCAGGTAGTGTAGCACAGGGGCTTATCCTTTATCCCCTCTAGGCACATCTGTAGCACATAGCAAGGATGCTGATGAGACATCCTCTCCAAGATTAGTTGGCTCAAGTGTGTGGTAGGAGGCATACAAGCTGTGTTTACCTCTCCTCCTTACTACTGTTTTAATACATGAAGTGGCGGTGCCGATGCCTGTGCCAAGCCATGATATAGTCAAGTAAATTATCACAGATCTGAGAAGTAGAAAATAAGTTACTCACATAATTGATTTGACCATATTATTTAGGCTCACAGGAATTTCACTCACCAACAGACTGGGCCTTGCTCACTGGGAGCACACACCAGCTTACTGAGCTGGGACGCTTTTCAATAAAGCATTTCACTCAGGAAATTCTTACAAAAATATCAACTTTCTTTTGATATTAAATAGTTTACATATAATATATTAGCAAATAGTCTGTCAAAAAATAAAACTTTCCAAGTGTATTAAAAATATACAGTTGTTGACCTAACACATGACCCACCATAAATATTATTAATAAAATGAAAATTAACATTAACCAGGCATTCTATGCATCCCAGTTCATAATTTGGTGATGATGTTCAGACTTGTGGCACTGCTGGGTCTCCAAAGGTCACTCTCTCATATTCCTTCTTTGATTTCTTACTTTTTCTATATTTGTACCTAGAAAAACACCAGAAAGGAAACAGCATTGTAATTAACAGATGTTAAAAACAAACTCTGAAACAAATACATGGAATCCAAGAGCACATTAAGAAAGGCATTCAGCCAGGCAGTGTGATAGTGTACATCTTTAATCCTAGCACTCAGGAGGCACAAGCTCCCAAGGGGTAGTTTGTCTGAGTTCAAGGCCACCCTGATCTGCAGAGTGAGTTCCAGGCCAACCTGGGCTACACAGAGAAACCCTGTCTCAAACAAACAAAACGAAAGGGGTGTCACATCCAAAATCCCAGAGAGACTATGTCAGATCAGGCAGTGGTGAAGCTGAGAGTGCAGGAGTTCAGTGTCTTACAGTCTATCACACTTGGTAAGAAACAGGCATGGTTAAACAGTTAGCATCGTGAAAGGGGTTCTCTACAGGCATAACACGAGCACAGAGCTGTGAAATGACGAGGAAGTCTCCCGAATCTTCTTCTATCCGTTTCTTTCACCAGTATTCAGTCCTGTTACATCGACTTAGATGCATAGAACCTGAACGGGTCTTCCAGTGTACGTTAAATCATCCCTAGGTTACATCTGAAACCTGACAAAATGCCAACGCTCTCTAATATCTGTTATGTTGTTTAGGTTCAGTACAGACATTGTTTTCAAATTCTAATTAGGAAAGCATTGTCATCAGATGACTACTTAGAACAAAATCTAGTTTGAAGACCAACTTCAAACTAAGATGAATAAACTGGAAAGATTTTATGGGTGCTATTAACTATTCATACTGTTTCACAAACCCAGTCAAATTAAAAATCCTGACAATCCTTGTTACATTTCTTTTCAGTTAGCATTTTGTGATAATATCACTGTAGGAGGTGATTCCTAATTATTATAGTATGAAATTTTTACTCTGTATTTTATAAAGAAATGGATATGCCTTGTTTTGACTTTTATATGCACATAAGCAGGAAGTAAAAGTTAGTAATTTAATGAAACCTGGGTGTAATGCACAAAAGCATTTTTGTAAATACCACAGTGCAGAGTCGATCTTATTCTTCTCATGCTGTATTTAGATTTCAACAAGTTTATAGGTCTGTTGGATAATTTTAAGAACAATAGGTTCTGGCTTACCATCTGCAGAAATAGTATATGGATCCAGCGATTATGACAAGGAACAGGAGAATAACTATCATGGTCAGTGCAACATATTCTTTGCTCAAGGGTTTGTGAACAGTTAGAAAGAAGTGTTCACACCGGACACCAGTGTAGCCCACATCACATCTTTAAAAAATGCAAAGAAAATGAATTATTTTAAGATGAAGTCATTTTATGAGTTAGTGTTTGAAGAACTACATCTTCACTGCAATAGAAGAAATTAGCAAGATTTGTTTAAAATGAATTAAAAAATTGAACTCAGATTTGGGTCTATAAACTACAATGGTAAAAGGACAATCTGATGCAGCTGCTAAGGTACCAATCATTTAGAATGGTTTAGTTTATAGATATGAGATTTTTTTTGTTCCAAATCGTAGAATTGATTCTTAAAACAATGGCTTGTAGAGAATTCCAATAAAGGTAGATCTGACATTGTAGTAAGAGGGGCAGCATCTGAAGTTCCACCCACTATTATGCACCCCAACTTATCTGTCTAGATTGAAATATATTTGCTCTCTAATTTCAAATAAATAATAAAGGTTTTAATAATATATATAAAGTACATTTCAACAGCCCTTACAAACATGATAACTACATATGAAAGTGTAGGCTTTGGAACTGCCATTATTTGCTCATTGGAATCACTTACCTGCAGTAATTATCACTCATGTCCACCAGGTAGATGCACTGTCCATGCAAGCAATAGCCATTCATGTCAGAGCTACACTTAGTAATTGACACTTGGGCCACACGGGGATTGTCTTCCATCTGAACTGTGAAGAGAACGGATAGTTTAATGCCTTGTGTCATGGAACTCCAAGTACATAATTATCCTTTAATAATAACAATCTCTTTACAACTTCAGCAGACAGGTCAGAGGTCAGCAGTGGAGAATTTTCAGGGCCCAGGAGTTACTCTACTTACTACATTTCTCCAACCAGAAAACAAACACCTGAACATACAACTGGCGCCCAACGTGGGGCATAAGACCTTCCACTTAAAATTTAACAAAAGCTTAAAAAAAGGATTTTAGAAACAAAAGAACAGAGACAAGCAAGGTTTCTTGGTATCAGCATTTTTCTCTGTTGGACTCTGCTTTGCAAGAGATAAGCAGATATTTGTGCGGCTCCTTTAAGGGAAGGTTCCTGACTCAGCATAGGAGCAAAAAACCGCATGGCTTTTACAAAGCACAGCTAACAATTTATTGGTGTGTATGAGAGATGGCAATGGCAGTGACCACATCTCCAAGCCGGCAGCATGCAGATCAAGGCAGTGAGCGCAGCTCTCAGTGCTGGTAAAAGTACCCGCCACCATCTTTGGTAAACCGCGGCTGACACAGCTATGACTTTCATTTTAGCAATGTTGTTGTTTACCAGATAAAAGACTTGTGGCTAGACGAAGATAAAGATGTACAGTAAAGACAGATTCATATTAAGAAAAACCTCTAAAGGTTTACAGTGTGTTTTAAAATATACGTAGACATGAAAAAAAAATGGTTTTAAAGAGACAAAGAGGAACTGGGTGTTGTAGCACACGCCTTTAATCCCAGTGCTCAGGAGACTGAGGCAAGCAGATCTCTTGTGATTTCAAAGTAAACCTGGTATGCAGAGTGAATTCCAGGACAGATAAGAGTTTCACAGAGAAACCTGTCTCAAAAAATAAAAAGTAAAAGAAACAGAGTAATAATAAAGCCACATAAAGATGAAAAGCTCAGAGAGAATCTGGTTACTGTATGCTATTGTGTTGTCTCTACATTGTTTGACTGCTGAGAAAATAACAACTGATAAAGGAAATGCTGCTGGATTAATTGAATTTATATATTTTAAAAATGCTTTGACTCCAACATTTAAGTTTAAGGACAAGTTACTGGGGAAAAGGATTTCTAATTTTGTTTCCACAGAAAATAAAAAGCTGTGGATTCCTTCCAGACTAATGTGGTTTGAGCAAGCCAGACCCCCTAAAACAGAGTTCCTGATGATCCAACATTCAAAACAGCTTGAACAAGGCAGACTTGCAGACTACAGCCAAGATTTCTGCAACTTCTTAGGATCCCCATGACAGCGCCCCCTATCAGCAGGAAGTAGTTTGGAAAGAACGACGCCCAAATTCCCAAACATTGTTTATAAATGTTTGTTTTCATTTAAATGGACTTGGTTATAAATGGGTAATGATCACAGCCAATTATTTTTAAAGGTAAAAAGGGAATTATGGTATTGATATGATTACTTTGTTTTGGAATGGATTTTCATTTATTGATACAATTTAATGTCAATTTTGTGAGATGTGTATTTCTCCTCTTGTTTAGGTATTGTGTTTATATAGAAATATAATGTAGTACAGATTATAGATAATTACCTATGATAGTCAAAGCTTAGAGTTAAGTTAGTTAGGTTTTTCAAGATACACAGAGATGTATTTGAGATAGGAATTCTTCAAACCTTTCAAAGACCTACAGAATATGGCATTTAAAGTGGTTTAGGGTTTTTGTGACAGTGAGACATAATTGCTCTTGGCAATACCACCTGCACCAGAAAGGAAGATGGACATCGAAGAAATGCATTATGAAGTTTGCTTTCAATATGGCAAGACTAGCCATGTGGACAAGATACTGCTCTTGTCTGGACTGTTTGACTTTATGCTGTATAAAGTGGACATGCAGGACCCACAGAAAAGTGACTGCTGATTCAAGATGGACATTGCTACAGAGTTCCTGCTTCATGGAAGAGTCTTCGAGACAGTATGCAGGACACGGAGAAAAGTGACTGACAAACTGCCAATAAAGAAGACAGTTTAAAGTTTTCTGCTTTACTGGAGAGTCTGTCAGACATACTATGGCCTATGGGCTGAAGATGGAAGATTACAGAAGAACTTCGGGTGACTAAAAAGGCAAGATATCTCTGTCATTTCTAGAGCTTATATATTATCCTTCTGTGGTCTTTGAAGGAGTTGAAGACAGATAGTTATAGTTATAGTTTTCCTTAGTATTAAAGATAAGTTACTTTAGACACACAAAGATAGGATAGATGATGGAATATTTTCTTCAAATCTTGCTAAATGTTAATGGACTAAATAGTGTTAACTGTGATTATTTGATAACTGTTATGTGATATATTTTGCTATGTTAAGGTTAAAACCCTTCATGTTATTTTAGACAGAAAAGAGGAGATGATGGGAGATGTCATTCTGTATATGTTTCTCATACTGGTTAATAATAAAGCACTGTTGGCCAATAGGAAAGGAAGATAGGAGGGACTAGGAGACAAGGAGGAAAGAGGAAGTAGTAAGGAGGAGTCAAGATGGAGAGTCTGGAGAGAGCAGTATGCGGCCGCAGGCTCCCGGTAAGAAGAACGCGTGGACATACATAGATTAACACAAATGGGTTAATAACTAAGGCAGAGCTAGCCAATAAGAAACTAGTACCTGGCCAATAGCATTGTATCAAATACAGAGTCTCTGTGTGTTATTTGGGGCTGGCGCAGTGGCAGGACAAGACCGGGCGGCGGCAGGCAGAAAAACAGTACACGTTACATACAACAGGCTAAACAAAATGACCCAAGGATTTAATTTTCAAAAGACAGGCATATGGAAAACTATCCAGAGAAAGCACACTTTGAGGAGTGTTCTTTCCTGCCCAAGTAACAAAAAACAAACAAAAGCAGTGGTGGAGGAAAGTTGACAAAATTCCAGAGACCTTGGCCGCGAAGGACAAGAAAGAAGATAACCTAGAACCCCTCTTTGGCTTCTGTATTCAGCTCAGAGCTAAGCATACAGTGGTCCCTTGGAGCATGTTCCCCTTGGGGGAACAATGGCTGTTCATCATTCATCTTGTATTTCCACCTTGACAAGATGCTAATTCACCCCAAGCACTCCAGCAATGATCACTAATAGGACGAGAACATGTGTTCCTCAGACATGCTACATCTATCAAGAGGAAATATGCTGTGTATAAAGTGTGCACTTTCCTGTTCTTTATGGGAATTGTCCCTTCAAATGTTCTCCAATAATGGCTGCATACTAAAGACAATTTCCTTATTTACTTTCTAAACTCAATATTCTATCTATAACCTCATGTCTTATCTTTCTCCCATTGTTACTCCTTCATGAAATCTCTCCAGATCTCTAGTTAATTGTAAGTTTAAAAATTGTTACAGCAGGCGCTGCTTCCTTTTACTTCATTAGCACTTGCTTATATTTCCATTTTATTTACAAATATGTAAGACTCTGATGCTGCTTCGATGACCTCAGGCTTACCTAAAGCCGTGCAATTGTCTTCGGTGTCTCCTGGGATGCATGATGGAATCACGGTTGTGCTGATAGCCCCTTGTAGAAGGTGGAAACCTAGTAATACAAGATAAAATACATAATTAGCACTCCAAGGAAAGCAACTTACACTAAATTTCTACATGTCCTCCATACATAATGAGATGTGTTGTTTTAAGATGTTAGTTCATCAAAGTGATAACAGAAAAAATAATTCATGAAGACATTTCACATAATTGAAAATAAGTGATCCCTCTTGTAAATTGATTTTAATTTACAAAATGTAATCTAGACAAAATGAGAATACTGTTGCTATTTATTGTACATGGGCACTAGCTCTAGCATCCCCCACAGATACTGAATTTGCAGATGTTCAAGTCCCTTTCATAAACTGGTATAAGATTTGCATATAACCTGTATGTCTACTATTGTACCTCAAGTCATCTCCAGATTACATCTAAAACCCAATACAATGCAGATGCTATATAGTACCTATTAGATTGTGTTGTTTAGGTTCAATACAGACACTGTCTTCAAATATTTTGAACCCATGGATACAGACAGGCTGTTTGTATGTCTTATCTAATACAAGAAGAAACTGGTGAACCTTGCCAAGCTGTGTGAGCCCTAGCATTTAGTCTGTCAGCACAGTGAAATTCAAACAACTGTCTCATTCAGTAAAAAGATAAATGTTGGAAATTAGGCATCAGAATGACTCGTCATTTCTGAATTGTATAGGAAACATGATAAGAAGAGCCTTCTAATTATATACCTGTTTATGAAAGAGCATTTTGCCTCTCCTGTTTAATCTTTGCATATTTGCATTCCAATCCTCTTTCTGACCTTTAGGAGTTACTATTATATAGTCAATGCCTATTCTGGTAGTAGTAGTCATAGTCACAACAATTGGCAACCTTCAAACATGAACTGTGTAGAGGCATTTTTTCCATTCATTTTATCCATGCTGTTTCATTTCATGCTCTCAGTAATGCTAAGGAAGACACTATTACCTCTATCAGACAGAAAATAAAGCAAAGCTACTGAGCATGAAGAGTTTAAATAACTTCTTCCAAGGGTACACATTAAATGGGCCACAGGATTGAATTTGGAAATGGGCAATAATGCTTAACTACATTAAACATCACATGCAGAACATTAGACTGAATACTAGCAGAGTATTTTTTCACATCACTGACTGGCAAAAGAATGGTAAAATGATAATGGTGTGAGAAAGCTTGATCTGCATTGCTTGGACACACACACACACACACAAATCACCCCCCCCAACTCTCAGGTTGTCTTACGGAGTTTTAGGGAGACTGAAATGGATTTCTTTTTCTTATTTTCTTTTTCTCTTTTTTTTTTTCAGAAATGCCTCATGTATCAGAGATTCCCATAAATATTCCCAACAGGCAATGTCAAGACTCTAGTTTAAATAAACTATCCAGGTAGTGCCCTCTACTGGTTTACAGTAAGATTATAAATCTCTATAATTAGGTATTTAAATGCATTTAATCCATGTAAAAAAAGACTTTTTTTCTTGATAAAAAGAATTTTGAACTTGCTAACAAAATTTCATATGGGTGTGTTTCAGACATCAAGCACAGACTCCTGGTTCCTGCTACCATGTTTCAAACTTGACACCAACAATCCTGTTCATGTAGAAGGCTTGTCTGCACCCTACATGAGACCAGCATGTGCAAATTAAATGTCTTATACAACATCACTCATTGAGTCACCACAGAAGACAAGACCTAAGGCATCAGTTTCACATTCCTTCAGTAGTTTGAAACCACTGAGAACTCTAGGCACATCCATCCCCCAGTCATGTGTCTCTACGCAAAATAAATTGCTTTTATAGACTGAATTTAATCTTCCTTAAATGACTAAAAAGAAGAAGAAAGAGACTGAAGTCTGAATTTCACTGTCAGTTAAGCAGAGATGTAAACTGTTTTCCATGCAGATGTGATCTGGAGGAACTGCAGTCTAGTTTTTTCTACACAGGAGTTTTGTTCTACTTCTCCATGTGGTTTCACAATGCACTATATGAAGAATTAAACCATTTAACCTAGGCAATCTTCTCAACACAAACTAGGCTTCTGATTTTATACCTGATACATACACTCCACCTCCAACCCAACACCCACACCTCCCCACCAAGTTCACTCCTGTACTTCCTTAATCAATGAAAGTAGAGGAGGGGACATTTCAATTCTCTCTCTAAGAAAGTGCCCGTGTGCGTCTGTGTGTCTGTGCGTGTGTGTCTGTGTGTGTGTTAGGGGGGCATTATCCTTTATCATTTATTTAGAAGTCACCCGGGGAAAAAAAGGTACCAGTATCAAGATGGGTCTTCCCTGCTTAAAATTGCTTTCAACTGCTACCCACTCCTGCTGTATGCTGAAGCTGATTCCAGCCAGTGCTGTTTAGTATTTCCTTGTTTGTTACAGTTTTTAGAAGTTGTTAGTCTTTATTCTATTTTAAGCTCCTGGTTTCTCGGGGTGCAGGTGAAATATTTGTCTGTGTAGATTATGGAATGTTTAGCCCAGGGCGTGCCTCCATGAACACTGGCCTCCCATGGCCTGTGATGCTTGTGTGGAGACAGTCCATTGCTTGGGACAGTTTCTGTGAGACTTGCTGTGTTAATCCACCAGCAGAATATTTTGCAGATAAAATTGTAAGCAATCATTTCAAAGTGTGGGACCTATCATAATGCTCCATCATAGCCAGGCATAACCAGTGAACAACAAAAACAGATCAACATCATCTATCTCAGTACACGGCTGAACTGATGTAAAACAGGAGTCCTCACTGGGCCTTAGGTGTGCTTGTTGCAAGACTTTGCAAACTGAAATAGAGTAATAAATGTGGTGATTAGTAGGTTGAAAAGCCCACCCCTAGAGGACTGTTGTTTTTGCAAAACTGAACCTAGAGCATTGCCCATTTTAGGCAAGCATTCTATCATTAAATACAATCCTAGCCCAGTAGTCATTATTTTAAAGTTATACAGGGTAGGGATAAGTCCTAGTGCCATATCCACTCAGTTCCTTAGTCTCATGGTATAACAATCTATGGTTCAACTGCAAATATTTTACTTACGCTTTTGGTTACTTACAAGGATTCCTGCTAATAAAGTAATTCACTAGGTTAAAATTTTGTTTTGATAATGTCTGTCTCAAAATCTGACATGTTGCTAAGGTCTTGAAGTTTGTGCAAGGTGACATAGATAGATGCCCTATGAAACTGGTGCTCAGAATTTCAACTTCACTATGAAAAACAAAGACAACAGTCACTTCAAGGACCATCATCTGGCTCACAGCTCCAAGTGGCTTTAGGAATGTGAGGCACCCTATTTATCTCTCCCTTCACCTTTTGGGGTTGCATTTCAGTGAAATCTCAAATACACCAGCAGGAAGTGGAGCCACTCTGACTCACAGGATGCAATTCGCCTCTTCCCTGTGAGTCAGGGCCCAACCTACACCCTTAAGCAACGATGGGGACCGTGCGTGTGCGTGGGAGAGTCTGAGTATGATCACCGGAATGGGGATAACCCTGACTGCCGTGGGCCCTGGAGTGCCAGGACCAGTTGCCCAACAGTCAAGCAGAATACCAGACATAGAAAATGTCCTCATTGCCTACAGTTTTTTCTGACCTGCTTCCTAGTGATGACAAGGGGGTGGAGGTTGAAGTGGGTGTACCTGGGGGGCGGGTGTTGTGGTGGGGGGTTAGGAGGAGGACACTTCTAGAAGACCAATGGAAAAGAAGCAGGGATTTTGTGACTGAAGAGAAAACCATGTCAGCAAAACATTCCCAAGCCTCAGGCAGAAAAATAATTTCTTTAAAAAACAATCAAGCAAATAAAAACGATCCAAAATAAATGATATTAATGAATGGGAGGTATTCACCTTCTTTTCCCAATGAAATCTTTCAGAATATGTAGACCAGAACAGCAAACTCACTATGAATCATGGTATTTGCCTAGCCCAAACAGGTAGCCAAATCCGCTAAGCATCCCTTTCCCATGCTTCCACTCACTTGCCTGCTCTGGAAGGGTTAGGTTTGCTACCTTCTTCCAAGGTATGACTATAGAATTTCTTGGTTACAGTTGATCTATTATATTTTGTGCTCTTAGAAGATACGAAGGAAGTGAAGGTGCATCTCTCTTTTATAAACCTCACAGTTTGATGCTTTGCTCTATTTTAGGTAAAATAACAAAAATCTGTCAAATCAGTTTACAAAAAATTCTCCTTTCTGTACTTTCAAATAACAACCTATATTTCAGACATATTGTATGTGTGTGTGTACACATATGCTAACCTTGTTCCTACAATTGTTAATTATTAACATTATATTTAAGCATCATTTAAAGCTAAATGTAAAGGAAAAAACCTGTATTTCAGATAAAACAGCACAAGAGACTGATATAATACAAGTATACAAATATTTCCTTTAATTTTGAGTTTTAAAAGATACAACAAATTTTCCTTTGCAAGTGGCAAGGAAAGATTCAATATGTGTATTTTCAACCATATGCATTAATTTTTATTCCATAATTTAAGTAGAAACGTCTAAACCATACTTTGAAGTGTTTATGTATTTGAGTTATCATATGACACACTAAAGTGATTTAAATTAAGAATGAGTCTAAATATAAAGGAAAAATCATGAAAATTCAAGTGCTTTACGTGATACACAGTGGATATCTTCATTCATAATAGAAGTGTTTGCACTAGGAAAGAAAATTAGGGAAGAGTTGAATAAGGTATAAACCTTAATGTTGGTATTTGGGAATTTTATGACTTAGAATTCTAAAGATGAGGCATTGTTCTCCTAAGAGTTGGAAATGCATATTTAGAGTGTTATTTTAATTCTAGTGCAATTTTTTTCCTTAGGATAATCTAAGATTGGCAGACTTTTGCAAAAGTGCTTCCTTCTATCTTGCTTCTTTCTCATTGATTTAAAGCAAGGTTAAATCTTTAATTTTGAAAGAGAAGCCTCATAAAGGATCAACAGCTGGATTCTGATGTTTGTCATTTGATATCTTTTATTATAGTCACAGAGATGCCTGAACCTTAGACTAGTTCATGACATTTATAGAAGCATGCTAACCAAT